TTACTATGGCTTTGGTGAGAACTTACTTGAAAACTATGTAATGAATAATTTTACCTTTACAAATTAAAATTATTGACATCTAGCGGAGCGTTACTGAACTATTGAAGATTTTAGTTCTATATAACTTCAATAGATGTCATTACTCACGTGAGTTACATTTTAAGATTCCCATAAATAAAGCAGAGAGATGTAAAATAAAAATAAAACAACAATATTCAGAAACTAATTTATTAAAAAAATACTAATTGCAAGAATACGATAAACAAAATAAACTAATCAGTCTGTTATTGTAACTAAAATACATACATACACATGTAGCTAATACATTTACTCCTAAATTATGCTTTCTCTTCCTTTGCTATGTTTTCAGTGGCATCCTTAGTTGTTTCTCCGCTGCTTTTTTCCTGGATTGGAATTACACGCTCGTTTATAGGTTCAGATCTGAACGCCACCAGAACTAATTTTCCTTTATCAAGATGACACTCAACACGTTCTGGAGGGAAGCCATCAGGCAAGAGGAATCTTCTCTCAAAGTGACTTTTGGTCCAACCACTGTCCCTCTTGATCTCCTTCATTCCCTCCACCGTAACCTCATTACCCACAGTCTTCACACTTATCTGTTCCGGAGTGAAATTGCGTACATCCAGATGAACTTCAACTTTCTTCGAGTCAACTTTGATTTCCGAGTCCGAATATACACCTTCGACATGGTCTATAGGAGATGTAATAGACTTCATGTACTTCATCGGGTCTCGAAAAAATGGGTCTCTTGAAAACACACCAAAAGGATCTTCGAAGGCCCTGATCATAGGATCCCTGGACGCCACATTCCTCAGATGTCGAATCCAATACGGCATCAATGACATTTTCACTCAGGATTCTTCTTATCGTTTATTCTTGCTTGTTTACAAGTTCACAGTCAAACTTCAAATGATTCACACTTTGCGCGCGCATCCGCTTTTATACTACCGACATCTGTTTTCCAGAAGCAACACGTAACGTCCGGAAGCTTCTGGCAATTTGGATAACTTGTGTTTAATTCCATCTAGTCGTGAGTCATAGAAATTTCGAGAAAGTAAGCGAAGTGTCAAAGTTTGACAAATGTATCTTTTCTATTCCACAACAGATGGTAACAGTAGAAATTAAAATGTTACACACAATTTAAAAATTAATGAAAAACTTTTCTCCCTTGAATACAAAAGCTTTCGAATTAACTATTAACTACTTACACACATATATGAGTAATTAGTAATTCATTGGCATTTTAGAAACCATAAACTAAAATAAAAGCTAAAAATATCCTGTAAGAAAACGAGTATGAGGTAATAGTGTTCAAATCAAGTTTAAGATTATTAAATACATTTTGGAAATTTTATAATTGAAAATAGAAGGAAATGAAAAATATACAAAAAATTGTCAAATATTAACACAGTTAGGCAGTTGTAAAACCAGTAGTACATCTATTACATAATAGATGGCGTTGTTATAGTTATAAATAGGACGAATGTGTTGTGAATGCCATCTGTTTGTGAGTAGTACAACATTCTAATACTAGAAGCTTCCGGAATGCGCTTAGGGCAGTGTAAACAATAAACATCTTCTAGTAGCGTGTATCTATAGTAACATGACAATATTATTGTGCAATAAGATGTAATGATGAAATCCAATTGATGATTTCGTCAATTACAATATATAGCAAGCAATCCTAAGCAAGCTATAACATAGATTTCCTAATATTGCCAATCCTCCGTTTTACAACGTAAAAGAGTATTGATACTGTTTGACCAAAATCCGAATGATTCATAAAATAAAATTCATCGAGAAGTCAAGATATTTAACGTCAATGTAAAAATATATAAAAAAAGCTCTCTAGAAAGTGGATATCAAATATTTAAGAATTAGGTAGTGATGAATTAGTAGGTGTAGTGGTAAAGTGCAAGTCAAACACATTGTTCATGTAAAAACAAAAAAAATTCCTTCGTTACATCTGTGTTTCGACTGTTGGTTTTTAACAACTTTTAATATTATAATCAATGGCATGGAAATTCTAGTTTTGATCACAGATAAATCATCATCTTCAACAGCCTCTAATAGTACCTACCTACACTGCTGCACATAGGCATCTCCTTGGAAAGGAGATTTTGGCCTACTATACCACGCTGGCCAGACGGGTTGGTAGGTACCTATAGGGTTTGTTTCAAGTTTTCCTTCTCTTTGCAGTGATGTTGTCCTGCATGATTTACTCCTCTCACACACCCACGGGATGAACAGGGGTGGTGACTAGACATAGGCATTATTGCTACCTTTAAATCATATTCATTTGAGGCAATAAGGAGGCAATGATTACTTTTAGTCATAGTGATTTCACATGTGATTGTGATTTCGTCATAGACAAAGATAATAATAATAATAATCTACCACATTCACAGAACGCCGTCTAGTCCCAAACTAAGCAGAGCTTGTACTATGGGTAGGTACTAGACAACTGATATAAATACATATATACTTTTTTTTTGTAAATACATACATATTATACATAGAAACACCCAGACCAAATCAAACATTAAATGTTCACGCACACAAACGTTTGACTTGAGCGGGAATCGAACCCGCGACCTTTGAAATAGCAGTCCGTTACACAAACCAATAGGCCATCAGGTCGTCGATAAATTGCATTAAAGTCAATCAAAATTCTTTTTATCAAAGATTACGAACTTAATTTGTTTTCTTTTAGATTAGGACCTTTCGCGAGTCTTGCGCTAGCGTAATAATAATAATTAAGTAGCAGTGGTCTTATAAATCAGTCACAGGTGTGATGATAGCATCTATGAATCATATGATTTAACTCATGTGATTGAGATTTCATTCCATCCTTAGTGGTGACACTCTGTATTCTTACTCCGGAAGGACAAATACGGGCTCAAACAATGATATTACAAACAAAAAAGAGGTTGATACACCAACAACGCACAAAACGTGAGGGTCCTTAGAACCACTACGAGTGCGCGCACGTACTAATTAATTCGAGAAAATTCCTGTGTATTCCGAAAGTGCACAAAACACAAAAAGGTAAATAAAGACAGAGAAATATCATACTATACGTAAGTGTATGTTTTGTTCTAAAATACATTAATATAATAGATGGTATGCGCGGTTAGGGAAACAAATATTTTGTGCGTGCAGTATGAATATAACGTATCTGCCTTAAAATATCAATGGGCTCAAATCAATTTCGACTGCGGGCCGATCTGTTAAAACAAACAAGAAAACAAAATAAGACAAATGCCTATCACCTTTATGCTGATGACTTGCAAACATTCTGTCAAGTGACCGTTGACAATATATCTGAGATCTTGATGACATTGATTGGTCTGACAAAATTGATTTGACAGTAAAACTATCTGAAACAACCGAAGTCTATACCTAAATAAGACTGTCATCTGTAACTTTCAAGGCATCTATTATATTATTCAACGATCTAGGCCTGTGCACCTTCCTTCCTCCGAACCATTTCCCCAAACTACCTAGTTTGGGGTCGGCTTTAACTCTACTGCGATACGGCTGAATTTCGATATTTTAGGAGCGACTGTCATCAGATCTCCACAATCCAAATAAGTAGTGACTGCCATAGACATTCGTATGAGAATCGGGACCGACGCTTAACGTGATCTCAAGATTACCTATAGTACTTAATTCTATTGATGTTCGACTAAGTAATCTGGAAAAAGGATGATCCCTCTTTTTCAGGCATACCTGGGGTACCATTTATAAGTACCTAGTAAGTAAAACAATTTGATTTCAGTAATCATATTAGAGGCTAGGTATAAACTTATTTACCACTTTTTCAATGGACTACGTAAGGCTGAAAAGTTGAAACTTAACATAATTCCTGCTGACAATAACGACGCCCTCAAAGGCCAAAGAAATCATATGGCGTAATAAGTTCCCTCTCCCCAATTTCATCCACCTGGCAGAAAAACTACCTCCAGGATATAAACTCCCCTGGCCAACCTGACAGGCGTTTAATAGGCTGCGTACCCAGGTTGGCAGATCTAAAAACAATCTGTCAAGGTTCATCGTCCCAAGCGCAAATAAATGCGACTGTAGCGCATCTCCACAGACAATGGGCCACTTGTTAAGCCCAGATTCGTGTACGCTTGACGACTTGTGTCGAGCAAGGCCAAACGCCATTCGCGTCGCCAAGCACTGGGCCAAAATCGTGTAAAGTGATGCCATCGACACGATAAGTAAGTAATGGAGTACTGTGGACATACATGGGTTACCATGTAACCGTACTCTATATCTCTCCGTATATAAATATATTTTTAAAAGTTATACATTTATAAAAGAACTGACAAAAAAGATATTATTAGATTTTGTGTTATGTTTTTATACGTTCTTTGTAAAAATTAGACCCTCAAATTCTGCATCACGAGAGTCAGTTCTAACTGCTAGTGTTTGTGGAAACAATCAGCTCTATCAGCGGTTGTGTGCTCTGAGTGAACTTCGGTTATTGTTTGTACAAACACTGAACGATGCACGTCATAAAAAACATACTCAAGTTATTTTTATACAATTCTAAAACGTAGAGAGTACAAATTTCTTCAGGTTTATTTATATACAGTTGTGCGATTAGGGGTTGAGTGCTTTTGTATTATTTAAACAAAAACCGGTCAATTTTGTTTTCTAAATTTATGTATTGAGCTATTGCAGTCTCATTCCTGTCCCATTCGAGACTTAAGGTATTCATTACCCTGTAGGGTCCGAATTTTGGCAATTAGAGGATTGGTGTCAGACAGGCAGCCATAAAAGAAATTAGCCAAAATCCTTTGCAATGTCACATATTGCGACGACTCCAAATAAAATTAGCAAAAGGCAGGTATACCCTTACCCTTGGTATGTACCTAGGTATAATAATAGTAATAATAATAATAATCTTTATTCACTTCAATTTTTACATTTACACTTAGCTTAAGCACTGAAACATAATACATAATATGAACAGGTACAACAGAGCTATGTATATGTATGTATGTATGTGTATATATATATATATATATTTAAACGTATAATATATTTTGCTATCCTAATTTATGTTGGTATTTGTTTAATTTTTATGCTTTTCTGTGTTGATTCCTACGTACGCATGACTGTGCCCTTACGTTTCTCTGTTGCCTTCTATTTGCTCAAGGTTTGCTGGAAGAAAACTCAGTTTTGGGTTAAGCTCGCCTATGTACATGACATTTCCTTGTTACTTATACATATGTATGTGTTCAGTGTGTTCAATAAATAAAATAGAAAATAATTAATGAATGAGAAACACACAAGTGAAGGACAATCTGTTCGAGTATTCTGCTATTGTAACCCTATCAACTCCTAATATATGAGTTTTAACAGTTTCACTTTGTGTGAAAACTATAATTAGTCCATATACTTTAATTAAAAAGCGGCGTGAGGGGTCTATGGATCAACGCTCGGACCGAAGCTGCCTTCGTTTTTTTTTTTGGAGACGTTTGCTATAATGTCGGAAAAAAATCTTGTTACAAGAAGAATAATTGTGCCAAGAATATCCGTAATCCTCATAGACATGCAAAGAAACGTAAAATAATAGTCAGTAATCTTTGTCCTTCGATCAATATAAGAAAGGGTCTTCTTGATTGATTAAGACATTCCTGTTTCTGTAGTTCTTTAACGAATAATAAAATAGACATGGAATCCTGGCCTTCTTTGCTTTTTACTCACCTTTAACTATCACATAATTTATTTATTTATTTAGATACATTTACAATATTATTACAGGAATAATAATAAAAATTATAATAAAGGATTCTAAGCAATTAATATTAATAAAAACACTGAATATTAATTATTTACCTATGAGAATGTAAAAATCGCTGGGTGCTCCCAGCACATAGCTGGAGGCATACCAGCAGGGCCGGGTGGTGCAGATGACCGTACGCGCCACAGGTAGCACACTAGCGCGCAAATCTGGTTTTGTAAAAACATGGCGATCCTTCATGTCATAATTAGTTAGGATAGGAACACAACTTTGTCCTACCTAAGTAAGACTAGATGTCTTTTTTTACTAAGCTGCGTCAATTGAGCAACTTTACATAATTTTAGTTAAAAACAAGGCTATCAGAAGAAAATATAATATAATAATAATTTAATTTCTCACCACAATATAGTATACATTACATTTGAATAAAACAAAAAGTACAAATTATTATTTTCAGAATATTGTGGGAGACTGGTACCTAAGCTAGGCTCGAGGCCTGTGTTTCAGGACACCAGGTCTCCACCACCAAAATATAGGATATGAATAAGTGTTTACAGTTATTGCAGAAGGATACAAGTTAAATCTCTTCCAAGAAATATAAAATTACACCTTCTTCACATACCGGACCCTCATAATCTGTTTGAAGAAATCATTTGTTCATGTTAAGTGAATATAATAAAGGATTATTGATACATAATATTATAGTCCCACAATCACGTCAATGTTCCTACTGCTGATTCAGAGAAACGACTATAAAACGAGTAACGCGGTTCTAACATGATCAGGTTAACACCGAGCACTGAACTGCTTACATAGACTTCAGTTTATTTTATTTATTTAAAATAAAAATGCAGTATTTGTCAATAGTTGTGTTGGTAGCTCTCGTCAGCGTGGCCATGTGTTTACCTTTGGAGTCAGGGGTTCCAGGTCAGTATGTTGTTTAAGTTAGTTTTATATTCAACATGTATAGTATTCACTGAGTTGAACAATATATTGAAATATCTGTGTACCCATCTAACTACATGGATATGTTGAAGCTTGGGTGACCTTCAATAAATTACTAAGTGTTTAATAAACTGAATATTAATAATACAGTGTAAAGCATAACTGAGAGGACAAATACACTTTTTCCCAATCAAAAATTTAAGCGAAGATCATACGATTTTTTTCCTCTAATCATTCGAGATAAAAATTATTCCGTAATCTTATAATCTTGGAAAACTGAAATTCACTTTTTCTTATTTAAGAAAAGTTTGTCGTCTTCGGAAATCTTTTTAAAATTATTTTGCCTATTAAGAATGAACAAACACTTAGTATAATGCGAAATAAAAACGTTGAAAGGAGACGTGCACACATACATCTCGTCTAAAACGATTACATTCGCAAGGTGGATTAGTATTAGTTCAGGCGGCCAATCAACCGTTTAAGAGACAACTGGATTCTATTCGTTTGACTGTGCAAATAATAAATATCTGTATAACAGATGGCGAGCAAAAAGAAGTGCAGAGCCACAGCTTGCAGAGGAGGTTCGTTAACCCAATGTTTGTCTTTGGTTCCACGGCAGACAGCGGATTTCGTCGCATGAGGACCAAGAGAGAGTAAGTCAAATTATAAATTGTATTATATAAAATATCAGCAGTAATTACAAGTCGCATATAATACATTATATTCTTCTTTATTTATCATAAAATCTTAGTTACCTGATAGCTAACTCTAAATCAAACAACAGGCGACTTCCTTGTCCACCTTAATACGCATACGCTCCCAAATAAAAGATAATTTTATAAATCAGTTTATAAATCCTTCACCGTGTGATGACGGATTAAGAATACAGGGCGTCACTACCCCTTATCATCCCGTGGGTGTCGTAAGAGGCAACTAAGGGAGCAAACTACGCAGGACAACAGCACTGCAGAGAGAAGGAAAATTTGACACAAACCCTATACCAACCCGTCTGGCCAGCGTGGTATAGTAGGCCAAAACCTTCTTTCTAAGGAGAGGCCTATGTCCAGCAGTAGACTAGTAAAGGCTGTTGATGATGATTTTTTTTGGGATAACAAACATAACGATTACAATTAAATTGAAAACTTTCTGCTTTTTTTTATTACTTTAAAAACAACAGGCTAGTTTTGTCAGTTGTAAATTACCATCAAGTGGAATTAATATAAATACAATTTGTTTAGAGCTGACGACATATGTGAAAAACTGGCGCTTTGCAAACTGCACGCGAGATCACGAAGCAATTTCGTCGCTGCTTTTGAATTGTACTTTGTCAAGTAAGTATCAGCGTATCATAGCAACGATTATTATATTCTATACCATTTTACTTCTTTATCCCTTCAGTTTTACACTTTTCATGAGAAATAAGTCGTTTTTTACTTAAGTATAAGTAAAAAACGACCTGCAACATCCTGCTCCCAGAATCAGGGGTTAACCTCACTCGGTTCGTGTCCGACATGCCACCGATAGGTGGTATCCGAGGGCATTTCCGCACGGGAAAAAAGGGGTTAACCTCACTCAATCGGTAAAAAGCGTATACAAAACAACAAACAACTGCTGTGCTGAGGTCTCGGGAATAAATAATATTCAAATAATAATATTCTGTCACATTCACACATCACCATCTAGTCCCAAACTGAGCAAAGCTTGTACTATGGCTACTAGACAACTGAAATAAATACATATATACTTTTTTTTGTAAATAAATAATACACAGAAACACCCAGACGAAACAAACATTAAACGTTCGTGCACACAAATGTTTGACTTGAGCAGTAAACGAACCCGCGACCTTTAGTCAGTCTATTACACAAACCACTATGTCCAACAGTGGACTATTAATTGATGGACCATGGATGATAATTATGTACATATATAAGGCCGCTTTACAGTATGCACTATGGATAGAGTGAAGAAAAGATTCTTGCCCGCGCATTTACACAGATAATAAACAATCTGTATTTTTTTTTACAGTAGGGAGAACGCCAGGCAATGGGATCACCATTCTAGAAGTTTGGAAGACTGCGAAACTCGATTTGGCGATTGCTACGAAGAATAACGGAAGAAGATAGTTGTTATTGTGGAAAAATTATTAAGAATGGAAAAGCTTTTAAAAGATTTACAGGATCTCGTAGAATTAGTAAAATAATAAAATGGTACATAACGTGTCTTTTTAATCTGGTTGCATTCCTTTTTCAAATTATTTTTTTAGCCAGTCTTGTTTTTTTTTTTAAACAATGATAATTATATTTTTAAATTAATCTTATTTTTTATTCTCTCTCTCGGTATCTGACACTAAAGGTTTTGAGAAATAATGTTATTTTACTTGTGTAAAAATAAAACACATCTTAACAAACAATCAATTTTATTTGATCCACTGTTCATCACATAAATGCACATAATAATTCAAATAATAATTAACAAACAAAATATAAATTCACACTCAGAACCATAACCAAAATTAAAATGTATCTATCTAAACATAGAGAATTACAACAGTATTTTATTCTATTACACCCAATATATTGTGTTGTATTAAATTGCTAATGATACAATCAATAATACTGAGTCAGAACTTTTTTTTTAACACAAATAAATATATTAATTTTATAAAAATAGGGATGATTGTCTTGTTTTATATTATACTTAAACATAAACATTCATAGTTTAGGAATTATTAGGAATATTAATTTAACATAAGAAGATTTATTTGCTTTAAAAAAAAAATGCCAGTATCCCACTGCAGTGCCAATACAAAACACTGTAACTTTTGAAAACGACAGTCAACCTTGAAAGCTTTGTTACAGTTTCTTACCATGTTAAAACCCTAATTTCAATATAATACAGTATTTTTATATTATTTTCTCTTCTATAATACACTTTAGAATTTTAAAGTGTTGATCAGGGTACTAAACCGAAGTAAAGGAACTGATTGAGCGTTGTTAAGGCAAAACACTAAGTCGAGTTACAGTATTTTGGATTGGCACCGCAATGATTAAAAGTTTTCAGTCACTTTTTTATGTACACAGAAACTGTACAAAAACACACGAACGTAGGTTTTGATTTAAAGCCTTACATACGTCGAGAATTTTTAAAAAATCGATTCTTTTGTTTACAGATTATTATTCATTATAGTTAAAAAAATATTGAAATATTTTTTTTTTATCAATTTCTATTTCTATCCCTCCTAAAAACAGTTTTTCTTTTGGCACGTTTTCGGTACCGCTGGACGTATGTAAGGCCTTAATGTCGGTTTTTTTTTCCTCTTTTATCTATTTGCCATAAGTTTTGATTGTCGTAACTCTTGTAAACATACAGGTAATGTCGTAACACTTGTAAACCGATAGGTAAAATTTTATTAAAAAATACATAGATTCATTCGGATAGTAATAATATATATACTAGAAATCGCCTGGGGATCGAATTTCGGCCATTTTTAATGTCTTTTTAAGTCGACCAATATAACTTATGCTGTCATTTTAATACTTTTTACGTTGACAGGTTAAAAATTGTACTGGGATTGAGTACTATGTAGCCGTTTTTACACAACTTTTTAGCACATATTGGTAAATAATGTTAGCTCTATGCATTTCTTTTTTTTATAAACACTAAGTATTCCAAATATAATATGCAACCGTGCAAACAGAGACAGAGAAAACAAATATACAATATATTTGTTTTCTCTGTCTCTCTTAAAAAGGTGATGTATTTGATTGTATTTATGTTGTATTATTATAATAATTAGATTATTTAGTACACTCTGTGTTATATTGGTTTTTAGTGTTATTATCGTTTATTATTACCTAATGAATTTCTGTGTGGTGTGTCAATTTGCGTCTTTACAAGTGTGGTGTGAAAACGTGCGCTTTTATTTCGGTACTAATAATTGTTATGTGAAAAAGATATTAATTTGGTGTTGCAAACATCAGTCCAGGATTTACTAGTTTGTTAATACAATAAGTGGTACAGAACTGGAAACTTTTGTATATTTGAAAGTCTGATGAAATACAAAAATGACGGCGCATAAGTGCAGTACCGAGTGTATCGGGGGACGGTGTCCTATATGAGTTTGGACTTCTTGATCTGTCTCTTGGCGGGCGGCGACAGCGCGGCCACGATGTGGTCGATGTCGGCGGCGGCGCGCTCGCTCCGCTCGGTGCGCTCGATCCGCTCGGCGCGCTCGGAGCGAGCGGTGCGAGCAGGGGCGCGAGCGCTGCCACTGGCCATCGCTTGGCCGAGCGCGGCGAGCAGGCGCGAGCGCTGCGTGTAGGCGAGGGCCAGCAGGCCCAACAGGGGCACTATTAGCAGCGACGACTGCCGCACTTCCTGCTCGTGCAACTTTACCTACACGTCAACACGACAGTAACTTGAGTATTCAACAGCAGGTTCACCGGATATTATTTTAACAATATTCAAATATCTGTTACATGGTACTTTATGAATTAATCAACATTATTAGCATAGACTACATAAATCGGGTATTCCAAAACGATATGTACAAAAATAGTGGTATTCAATAACTTTTACATATTTTGCAATTCTTTTTTACATATTAAAAAAATAAAATCCTTTTTAAACTACTAATGAAAATTTGACTCACCTTAGGCAAAAACTCGATGGTGAAATGTTTGAAATGCCCATCGGAATTAAAATAATGTACCTCCTCGCCGTACGTATGCGTTGTTTTACTCAAAGTGGACTCTAACTGTACCACATAAGTTTTATTATCAGCTGGCAGTCTCGGCAACACATACATAAGTCCCGGGTTCATGTTCTGGTTGTACCCGGCTGGGTCTAGTTTGGTCGAATATATGGGGGTGTGTGGGGTAGTTTCGAGGGCTAGTGTTAGGCGCAGGGTTTTGTAATGGTCAATGTTAGGAGTGTAAACGAGGACGTTCGCATCGGTAATCTGATGCGGTTGGATCGCAATCAGACGGATATTCTCGATGTCTTTATTTTCCTTGACCTGCGAAGATGATTGACAGTTAAACATATTATGCGCATGCGCAATTTATGGCTATTTTCAATGTAGTTAATAATAATTTATATTATACGAAGGAACCGTTAATTATTATAGGATGAATGTGTTTAATTTATTTCGTGATTTAATAATAAACTCTAATTAAATTAGTACATCATTAACGGTTATTGCTTGAGCTCAAATAAAAAAATACGCTCTCAAAATGTTTGTCTAACCAGTTTTTATTTTATTTTGAGTATGTTCAAATCATTTAAAGATTTTAATGTTTAATGTGTTTTTTTTCGTATTTAAATTGTATGATCTTTTGTCGTATCTTTCGAGACTTACAATACTCAGCGTAGTAGTAAGCGGCGTGGCGACCGCTTAAACCACTACGCCATCTGTACACTACGCAATCTCGGGATATACGTAGCAGATTTAAAATATATAACGTACTTACCTCTAGTTTGGGCGGCGCTTTGGCTAACTTCAGACCGAACAACTCTGGGGTAGTAGATTCTTTCAATTGGATGTCGTAAACGCAATTCGGTAATAGTCCCCGAATTCTGTAGATATAAAATATTATTTAAATACATTAGATAATACAGAAGAATAGATTTCCACATGATATGTGGGCAGGTGTCGCACGGTACCTGAAGGCGCCGCCTGGGTCGGTGGTGGCCTCCTCGGTGGCGCAGTGCGGGGCGCTGGGCGCGCGCGGCACGGCCAGCAGCCCCGCGCGCGCCCAGCCCGCGCCGCCCAGCGACACCAGCGCGCCCACGCACGACCACGCCACGCGCACGCCCCTGCGACACGATCACACGACACGTTACACTCGTTCTATCAGAATACCATAGTCATTCTCTTAAACTAACTTTTTAGTCCCACTATAAGACATACTACAGAAACAAAAAATTCTAGTAAAACCTAACATTCCAGAATATTCCACGATATACTAAATGATTCGATTCTGAATCAATCTATCTTTTCAATAAAAATAACGATCAATAATAACTAACATAACAGTAAAATGGTAATTTAAATTACAAATAAAATAAATACACGTATATTGTGTGTATTTTATGTATAAATCGATATAATAATCTAAATTTGTATAACTCAGACCATTTTTCTTTCAACAGTATGCTATGTATTCATCTAAGTCGTACTATATTTTATCTACATTGTACACACATTAATACAAATTATGCGTCAAACATTCAAATCTATGGATACAAGAAACTACAGGATGTAAGAAACATCGTAACGAATACTAAAATAGTGTATTCAGACCATCATTCCGAATCTGAAATCATTGAAATTTTCTACCAGGAAAAAGAACATTTTATGCATTCAGCTATCAAAGGTAAATGACATTCCCCGTAGGTATCGCACAAAAGTAATAACTACATGTGCGTTCCGTGCAAACAGTCGTTCAATTTTATGTTAGTGTACGAACACTAACACAAGTTGGCGGCCCAAGGTTGGTGTTTCTGACCGTATGCGGTATTTATTAATTTGTTTTCCGTGAAATGTTTTGTTTACTTATTGTAATACTATTTTTAACCAAAAAAAAAGGAAAATCACAAAAAAAGTCGCTTTTTTTGGCAGAAAATTCCAATGATTTTCGACTCAGAATTATGGCCTGAATACACTATTTCAGTATTCGTTACGATGTCCCTTACACCCTGTATAACCCTCAGAAACAAAGCAAAAAAAAAACAGTTTTTGCTGCATTATTGTATTGTATTGTCTATAAATACTAGTGGATGTAGTAACACTAAACTTACTTTAGTTCAATATCATGAGTGACTCCCTCTTCTAAAGCCACAATGTGATGAGGCGGTTGGAACTTGTACTCCTTCATGTTGGGCTTAATGTAGTACTGAGCGGGCGACAACGAAGCGAAGCGGAGCCGGCCGTCCGCTCCGCTCACCACGTTACGGCGGTACGTACCACCGCTCACTGACACTAAGGCGCCCTGGGATTCAAATTTTTTTTATAAAAGTTTTACTAGCTATATAATTTTAAACTGTAATAAAAAACTAACCTGTGTTAGTATATTGAAATTACTAAAAAAACGAGCAAATATTTTATTAGTTGGATTTAATGAGAAACATTTGACTTTTGAACTGTTATCTGACAATCTACTGTTTTTACATTCGTGCATGCTCATTGGTTAAATCATCATCATCATCATCATCATCATCATCAACAGCGTTTACTAGTCCACTACTGGACATAGGCATTTCCTTAGAAAGGAGGTTTTGTCTCAAGTTTTCCTTCTCTTTGCAGTGCTTTAATTATTTTGGGTATCTTATATTTCGTAGAGAAGTGCTGTACCAGAGGGCCAATCCTCGTAATAAAAGGAATACTTTTTATGACAGTTGTGACATCGAAAGTAACGCTTTTTAATAACGAGAATGGCCTTCAGAGCAGTGCGATCGGTACCTGCAGGGGCGTGGCGTCAGCGACGTCGGTGAGCAGCACGGAGATCTCGGCCAGCTTGTGCGCGGCGATGTCCCCGCGCTCGTCGGGCGCGCTGAACACGTACGACTCCTTCTCCGCCGTGATCGTGTAGCGCACAGACGCGTCCAGCGGACCGAACCGATACGTGCCATCTTCTGTTGTTTCTTGACTTAGTTTTAAATCGTCTGAAATTTCAATAGTTACAATTTAATTGCGTCAGGCCTTTACAATTGCTGCTACGCTAGGTATACAGAGGTGTTTTTAAACACACGCTATGGTAAGCGTTGATTAGTTATTTTGTTTTATGTTGAATATCCGTATTCGTGCCAACGAGAAAAAAAGACCGACCAAGTGCGAGTCGGACTGACGCACGAAGGGTTCCGCACCATTATCTATAAAAACCGCAAAGAAAACATGTTTATAGTACGCGAGCTCCTTAAATATTTGTTTTATTTTAATTTAAGTTTAAGTGAATATATAATTAAATATTTTGTTAATATTGTAAGCGTTTAAAAATAATCACGTTTGTTGTATGGGAGCCCCTTTACAAATGTATTTTATTCTGTTTTTAGTATTTGTTGTTTATGGGCAACAGATATACATCACCTGTGAAAATGTTAATTGGCTAACCATCATGGTTTATGAGATACAGTCTGGTGAAAGACGGACGGATGGACAGCGGAGACCTGTTTACCTTTTGGGTTTGGAATTTTAAAAATCGAATGCGTTCCTTTTTTGCAAATCTTAAAATAATCTTTCACATTATAGCATTTTATTGTTTCTAAAATTATAAATTGATGTTGATAAAATTTAGTATTAAAATTTGTGATTTCGTGAGATATTATTAATTAACTGTAACTAAGTTACTATCTAACTATTTTTACAACGATCTCAAACCATAAACAATTTTTTGTGTGTTTTTTTTTAATTATTAAGAATATAACGCATAATAAAACTCGTTTCAGAGTTAAGCTGAGGCGATAAATAATAATGAACCTTGAAATCGTTCATAACCCGCACGTGACTAGTCGAGTAGTGTAGAGGCGGTTACCGGCAGTGAGCGTGACGGTGGCGCCGGGCACGGGCGGCACGAGGCGGCCGGCCAGCGTGAGCGCGTGACTAGTCGAGTAGTGTAGAGGCGGTTACCGGCAGTGAGCGTGACGGTGGCGCCGGGCACGGGCGGCACGAGGCGGCCGGCCAGCGTGAGCGCGTGACTAGTCGAGTAGTGTAGAGGCGGTTACCGGCAGTGAGCGTGACGGTGGCGCCGGGCACGGGCGGCACGAGGCGGCCGGCCAGCGTGAGCGCGTGACTAGTCGAGTAGTGTAGAGGCGGTTACCGGCAGTGAGCGTGACGGTGGCGCCGGGCACGGGCGGCACGAGGCGGCCGGCCAGCGTGAGCGCGTGACTAGTCGAGTAGTGTAGAGGCGGTTACCGGCAGTGAGCGTGACGGTGGCGCCGGGCACGGGCGGCACGAGGCGGCCGGCCAGCGTGAGCGCGTGACTAGTCGAGTAGTGTAGAGGCGGTTACCGGCAGTGAGCGTGACGGTGGCGCCGGGCACGGGCGGCACGAGGCGGCCGGCCAGCGTGAGCGCGTGACTAGTCGAGTAGTGTAGAGGCGGTTACCGGCAGTGAGCGTGACGGTGGCGCCGGGCACGGGCGGCACGAGGCGGCCGGCCAGCGTGAGCGCGTGACTAGTCGAGTAGTGTAGAGGCGGTTACCGGCAGTGAGCGTGACGGTGGCGCCGGGCACGGGCGGCACGAGGCGGCCGGCCAGCGTGAGCGCGTGACTAGTCGAGTAGTGTAGAGGCGGTTACCGGCAGTGAGCGTGACGGTGGCGCCGGGCACGGGCGGCACGAGGCGGCCGGCCAGCGTGAGCGCGTGACTAGTCGAGTAGTGTAGAGGCGGTTACCGGCAGTGAGCGTGACGGTGGCGCCGGGCACGGGCGGCACGAGGCGGCCGGCCAGCGTGAGCGCGTGACTAGTCGAGTAGTGTAGAGGCGGTTACCGGCAGTGAGCGTGACGGTGGCGCCGGGCACGGGCGGCACGAGGCGGCCGGCCAGCGTGAGCGCGGGGCGCGCGCGCAGCACGAGCGCGTGCGGCTGGCACGACGCGCCGCCCCACACGCGCGCCGGGGGCCCCACCAGCAGCCGCGCCGACGTGCACGACACCGCCCACGACTCGCCCTGCGGAAACCACCTCACGGTCTTCATCACACAAATACACAGACACTCTTGTCAAAATCCATCATAGCTAGCATAGAAGTTGTGTTGCATTACATTGTTGTTGACGACCGAATGGCGTAGTGGTTTGTGTAACGGACTGCTATTCCAAAGGTCGCGGGTTCGATTCCCGCTCAAGTCAAACATTTGTGTGCATGAACATTTAATGTTTGATTTGGTCTGGGTGTTTCTAAGTATAATAAGTATGTATTTACAAAAAAAAAGTATATATGTGTTTATATCAGTTGTCTAGTACCCATAGTACAAGCTCTGCTTAGTTTGGGACTAGATGGCGTTGTGTGAATGTGGTACAATATTATTATTATTATTATTACACTAGCAGTTGTGGAGTTGTTCCCCTATACGTTGAAATAACCCTATTGTTGTTAAATCTGGTGCCAATTTCAACCACCAAAAGAATAAATTAGACGAGCAGAAAACGTTTCATACAGTTATGGTTGGTTAATGCTTATCAAGACTGTATAAGTATTCACTGCTTGACCGATTTCCTTTTCAAAAGTGTTATTACAATCTATATACAAATAAAACATAGAACAAATCAAATATCAGTGTGACAAACCCAAATAAATTTGAGAAAAGGACAAAAACAGATTACAATTTACTATCATCAACAGCCTTTAATAGTCCACTGCTGGACATAAGCATCTCCTTCGAAAGCAGGTTTAATATACTATGGATACTTATATTTCATAATCGATTATTTTGTATTATGGCCGCTTTAAATGAATTTGAAGTTAATTCTTAATTCCAGATCAATAATCGAATATAAAATTGTTAAAGTTTTTTTTTTCATAATCAACTAAAACAATTATCATATTAAATAAATGAAGAATCTTACGTCTGCCATATACAGGGTGTGTTCAAACACGTATCCACCGCCAGGCTGCTGCAGAGGTACCAGAGGTCCGATATCCTTAGTGGGTTGCCCATCAGCATTGAGGTGGAGCATCAAGTCTTCAACCGGTTCTGGAGATGTCACCTTGATCACTACAGCATGAGCAGTCGCCACGAAATATATAGTCTGGAATAATGTGAAAATTGCGTTCATTTTCTGGTTTCAAGAATCCTTTGTTTTTTTTTTTGTGGAGACTTATTGCTTTTCATAATTTAGTGTTATCTTATTTAAAAATAAGGGCGTGTACAAATATTTGACTTAACTATCAGTATTTTTTATGACTAAAACGAAAATAAATAGAAAGTAATAATTGTGGGTGTAGCCCATTTTTTTTCAGTGCGGAACTCCCCTCAAATACCACCCAACACTGTGGGTGATTATGTCGGACTGGAACCGACCAAAAACCGCACGCCCGTAATCGGGGAACCAGGTATACCCTAGAAAGGAAAGCCACGGTTGTGGGTGTAGAAGATATCTTCTACACCATACCTCGGTGGTATCGGCGCTGGTGTCGGCGTGCGCCTGGTGCGGCTGGAAGCGGTGGCAGCCGCGCGGCGTCAGCGTGTAGCGACCGGCCAGCGGCACGCACTGCTGGCTCGCGCCCGCCGCCACCAGCAACACGCCCTCGGCCTGGCCGCTCGCGTACTCCACCTGCACACTCATGACTTCCATAAAATGCCCAAAGAATGTACTACATGTATAATTGAAATACTAACCGTTACATTGAAGAGAACTATTAAAGTACAAAATTAGAGAATGAAATTGACAGATTAGACAGTGAAGGAAGAATTTACTGTGGATTAATTATGTGAAAGATGGAGAAAAAAGATTATATAACTCTGCTAGAGAGGGAACTTCTGACATAGATAGAGCACATATATTGAAAATAGACGTTAGATAAATAGAAGAATTGGTGGTAGAATGGAAAACATAGATATTCAACAATTAAAATTAATTTATACTAGCATGGTCAATTTCATTTCAAAGATTGTGTAAGTGTAGAAATAACGGAAAGTAATTACCGAAAATAAAACATAGTATATTGACCCTAATTATTAGAACCAGAATATTCCCCGATTCTTATACATTTTTAAATTAAAATACACAGTTAGCTTATATCTAACCATGACATGTCTACAATATTTTTAAGATAACTAATTGCAAATAACACACATCATCAAGAAAAACTTCAAACGATAAAAACTACCCAAGAAATCATAATGAATAATCGAATGTTTATTTCACTGCAAACCCTTTATGTAAATACATATGGTTTGTGTGTGTGGAAGGATCTAGTTTATCAATTTTTACCTTTAAACCTTACCTCAACTTCATGTGTGGAATGAATCTTCAACACATATCCAGTGTGTTCAAACGTGGGCACGTTGGCGTGGTCCTGTGTCACGGCTACATTGTGTCTGGCCTCAGCCCAACAGAGGCGGTCACTATCCACAGAGATTTCCACACTGCCTGGGAGTACCTCCTCAAATGTGTACTTCCCATCTATGGGAGTTAAAAAGGGTTGGTTGCTTAAATTGTTTAAACAAAAAAAAAAGAAAATTGTTATTCTATCGATTAGTTCCATAAAAATGAATTTAAATTCCACATTTTCAAATTTCGCGTGAAATTTGACGGAAGAACAGGATGCAGTGGACCACATTCTCGTCCGTTATCATGAAGTCAATAGACTGCAGTAAACAAAAGCGATCAGTTGACCTTTTTTAATTTACACAGCCATATGACGTAATAACATGGCGGCTACTGGTTTATGGTGGTGAAAAACATATTAAATCACTGAACTGACTATAAACGGGAACTTCACCCTAACATAAAAAAGGATTTTTCCAGATTGTAATTTGGATTTTAATTACACAACTCACGAAGTTCTGAAGTAGCAAACATAAAAAATATATTTTTTGTTTAGTTAGGTATTTCTTCACTCTTTCTATTTCTGTGTTATTGTCCGTAACAAAGTAATCTTTGAAAATAAACTGAATATATTTAAATTCTTGTAATTAATGCGTGCTTGATTTAAATAGGAAAAAGAGAAAAAAAAACGCAGAAAAATAAAGAATTAAAAAGAACGAATATTTACCTATTTGTATTTGACAAGTACTCACCAATGGCGACAGTCGAGACGGGCTGTCCGACATATCCGCCGTCAGCTGACAAGGGTCGTAGCGTCACAGGTATGTTGGCACACGATTTGGACTCCTTGCACTGTATCACCCCGCTCAGCTTGCCTTTGAGCTGAGAGAAAGTGATACCATCCACGGGGCCATTACCCACTGACACTCTCTGCGTTAGAGGGTAGAATCTGTTCATCAAATGGAATTACGTTATATATTTTATCATTGTATGTATTATGTTCGTTTATATCCTATCCGTGTGGTGACGGATTAAGAATACGGAATGTCACCACCCCTATTTATCCCGTAGGTGTCGTAAGAGCCGACTAAGGGAGCAAACTACGCAGGACTACAGCACTGCAAATAGAAGCAAAACTTGACACAAACCCTATACCAACCCGTCTGGCCAGCGTGGTATAGTAGGCCAAAACCTATTTTCTAAGAAGAGGCCTAGGTCCAGCAGTGGACTATTACAGGCTGTTGATGTGATGATGTGATATTCTAAAAAAAAAAATTGCCAAAACATGACAAGGTCTGAAGGTGATTGATGATTGATTGATTCTCGTGGTAAAGTATTAAACAACTGTCGTTCACTGTAATGTGATTATATCGACTTATAACCGAAGTTGAGTCGGTATTCTGCTAGTCTCAGTAATACCACGGTACTATTATAATACAGTACTGCAACTTCATACAAACGGACGAAACGGGAGCTATACCTACGCGCCTCGATCTCGGGGTGCGCTCGGGGAGCAGACAGTCACGGCTGTACCGCAGTGTCGAACGGACGGTGTGTTGTTTTTTTAACAATAACCGCGCGATTTTTTCTCTAAAAATCAGTTAATATGACGAGTAGGAAATATTGTGCTGTTTTTGGTTGTATGAATTCGTCAATAACGCATCCAGACATAAGTTTTTTTAAATTACCTGGAAACTCTGAAAAGTAAGACTATAAAATAATTTTACTTACTAGTACGTAGGTACATAATGTGTGTCTTTTTAATGGATAAGTACTTCCTTTTATCTCACGAAAAAAAAGGTGTTTGGATGAATAAATAAAGCAAATAGAGTAACGGAAAGTTATTGAGACGAGTGAAATAGGGAGTTACATGCGGTTCTGAATGAATCATGATACGGTAGGTACCTACCTACTTACGCTTGTGGTAAAACTTCGGTGCATGTTTGTTTTGTTACTTTGCATAATTCAAAAAAAAGAAAATTCTACTTAAAGACGTGGTATTTTATTATTAATAATATATCTTTATTATCTGTGTGTATGAATAATACTAAAAAAAAATTTGTTACCGTCTGTGTGTCATTAGACAGTTTTCGAAATTTTCACAAAGTGTTTCTGCTGCTACTATAACAACATATACCACTAAAAACTGGTTTTATTTTCTCGGTATTAACAACAACAGCTAGACTCATTGTTTAATATTGTCATAGAGTACTATGAAATAACAAAAGCAAATTTAGTTGTTAAATTGTATTACGTATTAAATGTAAGTGTGTTATTGTTTGTGTGAACTCCCACGAGATGGCGCTCGGCTATGAGAGTGAATCGCGCTATTAAGATTCTCTAAGACCAAATGATATCGCTGTATAACCTATATTGTGTAAGAAAAATAAACCTGTACTTGGAACAGTAATCTGCAGTGTTATTACTCCTTGCTGTATCCTAATCGCTGAGTCAGCGGCACGCTAGTACATTGGTCCTTCGAGCCGGATATTATTCGGAATTTGACGTCGGCGGAGTAGGTCGACACTACTACTAAGCAGTGGATCGCTGCTTAGAGCATCTTTACAGGCAGTCTGTACGCTTGTGAAGAACCGGGAGCTGGCAGTTCCTGGATTATAAGCGGAAGTTCCGGAACCTGTGAAGGAGGCCAGGGCAAGTGGAGTCCCTGGAGGAGCGGTGCTGTTAACTTGGAGTCCTTGGTGAAGTAACCAAGTGAAGGAGGATATTATACAGGTGGTGAACATACCTGGGATAAACTGTGAGTAAACTTTAGTTATTTAAACTAGTCAGTGAAGAATTAAGCAATAGTGAGCTTTAGTGAAATAGTTTTCAAGGCAAGATAAATTGAAGCAAAAGTGAACTTTAATGCCTTAAGCTAAGGAACTTAAACGTTAATAGTAAATTTGGACTTTAACTTTAGTTTAGATTTAGACTTAGAATAATTTGTAAAAAGTGGATGAGACGGGGAACCTATGCCCGATTTTTTTTTAATGTGTAAAAACACTTGTAAAAATTTTTGTTTATTTCAAAACTTATAAAATTTTATCTGGTTTGAAATACTCTTTGGCAAAATTTTGTCCGAGTAATTAACAGTTTGTAGTTGAAAATTGTTGTGTGATATTAATAAAATAAGATGATAACTTATTTATGGTTTAAATGTCAGAACGAGTTTTAGACGTCGACATTGCCACTAGTGTTGACACTATTTTGTTCTGTGTATCTTTGTTGCTGTGTTTCTAAAGAATATAGCCGCTAGTTGTATTGGAAGTTTGCATTTATCTTAAAGATATTCAGAACGTAGCGGCTAGTATTGAAAATAGTTACATCATATATATTGGTATGGTACTAGTCTTTGGTAAAATATTGCTGCCGTTAACATATTAGTTTTTCGTAATTATTTTGTGGTTCTAGATTTGTTAGTTCTAATTTAAAGTTAAAATGGAGGCTTTAATTAACAAGCAAAAAAATACGTATGATAGAATACATAAAGCTTATGTTAATTATAAGAAATCGCCGAAGGAGCGAATAACTCGTCCTTATGTAAAGGTTAGATTAGAAAATTTAGAAGAAATGTGGACTCAATTAACAGAAGGCCATAGTAAGTTATACGGGGAATCAGAACCAGAAAAACTAAATGTAAGTCAGTATGTTAAGGAGAAAGTGTATGATTTAGCGGAAGAAATCTATATTCAGTACAAAATTGAACTTGAAACAAATATAGAATCATTTATAGCCAAGGAGGAAAAGGAGAAACAAATTCCTAAAGCTACTGGGCAGAATTCAAAACCGTTCCAGGTAAAATTGCCTAAAATAGTGATTCCTGTATTTGATGGTAAATACAAAGAGTGGGTAACCTTTAGAGACCTATTTGTATCCCTTATTCACAACAACCCAGCTTTGGATAATGTGCAACGAATGCAGTACTTGAAAGGGTACTTGTCAGGGGAAGCCGAGCAGCTTCTCAGACAAATACCTATTTCTGAAGCAAATTATTCACGCTGTTGGGATCAATTAAATGCTCGGTATAACAATAAACGGTATCTTTCGCATTATATTTTGAAAAGGTTACTAATTCAACGTAATCTGCATAACGAATCGGCAGTAGGGCTAAAGGAATTAATAGACAATACTAACGATTGTTTAAAAGCATTATCTAACCTAGGTATTGATGTTAGTACATGGGACATCATAGTTATACACATTATTACTATAAAGCTAGATTTGGAGTCCCGAAAGCAGTGGGAATTTGATATTACTTCACATAATTCTACAGATGAACTACCCACCTTGAGTCAATTTACAGAATTCCTAACGAATAGATATAGAGCATTAGAATTTTTGGATAGTAAACAAGGTTCAGGATTTAAAGGGCAGATGTACCAGAAACCGAACACATCTAAATTAAATACGTTACACGTAACCAACAATCAATGCCCTTTTTGTTCTGAATCACATAAGCTAGTTCACTGTAAACAGTTTGTTAAATTAGATATCAACGCTCGTCGTAGTTTTGTCCTGGAAAGGGGAATTTGCTTTAATTGTTTAGGCAATAACCATTCTGCAAAGGTGTGTAATTACACGGTAAAATGTCGCATTTGTAAACGTCGCCATCATTCACTACTACATCCTCGCGGTGAAGGGTCATCCGCTGGTTTACAGGAGAATGATGGTGTGCATGATGCATCGCTGTCAAATAAAACTAATTTTTCGACGCGGGAAAGTGAGGTAGACACTGGGGATCCACTGGTCAGTTGTTTTTCGACAGGAAAACCGGAGGGTACGGTTTTATTAGCCACGGCTTTAATTAAGGCCGAGTCGAAAGATGGTACTTACCAGATTGTGAGGGCTTTAGTGGATCAAGGTTCACAAGCTTCATTTGTCACGGAAGCTACCGTTCAATATTTGGGATTGAAGAAAACTCCTTCTACTCAAATCATAAAAGGTGTCGGAGGAGATAAAGAAATAATATCGAGGTCGATGGTAGTTATTAACATTAAGTCAAGGATAGATTCCAATTTCAATATTTTAATTAGGGCTTATGTATTAAGGTCTATAACGTCACTTCTTCCAGTTGCAAGGGTAACTGCGGTCAAGTGGAAAGATCTTAAGGAAGAAAGTTTGGCAGATCCTCAATACCACACTCCTAATAAAATAAACGTTTTGTTAGGTGCTGATGTTTACAGCCAAATTATACAAGAAGGTCTGAAAAAGACTTTACAAGAAACAATTGTAGCTCAGTCTACGAAATTGGGATGGATAATTTCTGGCCAAGTTAATACCTGGGGTTATTGCTCTTCGAAATTGGCGGTGATGCACGCGGAGGTAGAAGAAAAGGAAATTTTAAAAAGGTTCTGGGAAATAGAGTCAGAACCTACTAATCAGAAGAGATTGTTAACAGACGACGAAAAACGTTGTGAGGCGTTATTTTCAGCAACGACTATAAGAGACCCAAATGGCAGATACGTTGTAAGGCTTCCGTTCAAAGAGGAAAGTGCACTTTCTCAAGTCAGTGGCTCGAAGGAAATTGCAGAAAGGAGATTGAATTCATTGCACGCCAGGTTAAAAAGGAATACGGAACTGAAAACAAATTATAAATTAGTTATAAATGATTATATAACGCAGGGTCACATGGAAAAGGTTCCTGAAAATGAGAAAGAGAAATTGAATGTCATATACTTACCGCACCATGCAGTGGTAAGAAATGATAAAGATACTACCAAGGTCAGAGTGGTGTTTGACGCATCCTGTAAAAATAACAAGGGTTATTCATTAAACGACAAGTTGTTGATAGGACCAAGGTTACAACCAGAACTTCGACACCTTTTGATACGATGGCGAAATTATCCTGTATGTCTAGCGGCGGATATAGTTAAAATGTATCGGCAGGTAAAGGTGGCGAAAGATGATATCGACTGTCAACGTATACTTTGGAAGGAAGAATTTGACCAAAACGCTGATCATTATCGTCTGTTGACGGTTACCTTCGGCACAGCGTCGGCTCCTTACTTAGCGGTGAAGGCGCTTCAACAGGTGGCAATAGATGAAGGCTGTCATTACCCAATAGCTGCAGACAAGGTACTAAATGACTTCTATATGGATGATCTTTTGACAGGATGTAATAGTGTTGATGAAGGACTAATAATTTACAAGGAAATGAACTCTTTATTGTCTAAGGCAGGGTTTCAACTTCAAAAATGGATGAGCAACAAAGAGGGTCTACTAAGTAAAATGAAGGAATTTGGTAAACTAAAAGGAGATTTTAGTGAAGGCTTACAGTTAAAGGAAGATGAAATCGTGAAGTTATTGGGACTTACCTGGAACCGTCGCTCCGATAATTTTCAATACTCGGTGACTCTTCAACTGGAATCCGGACCTGTGACTAAAAGATCAATAGTGTCACATATTGCAAGGTTATATGATCCATTGGGGTGGGTTGCACCTTGTGTCATAATAGCTAAAATATTTATCCAAAAATTATGGATAGAAGGTTTGGGTTGGGATGAACAAGTATCAAGTAGCTTACTCAAGGAATGGGATACTTACCGAAAGGAATTACCAATGTTAGCACATATTAAAATACCTCGCTGGTATGGTACAAATTCCGACAATACCCTTATAGAGCTACACGGATTTGCTGATGCATCAAAGGTAGCCTATGCGGCTGCTGTGTACATTAGAACGATTAATAGCGAAGGTGACGTGCACGTTGCATTGGTAACAGCGAAGACTAAGGTGGCGCCAATTAAACAGGTATCAGTCCCTAGGTTGGAGTTATGCGGTGCCGTAATGCTAACCAGGCTTTTGATTGAAGTGGCAACTGTTATGAGACTGGATATTACAACCGTTAAGGCTTGGACGGATTCAACAGTTGTTTTGGCCTGGCTTAGCGATCATCCGAATCGGTGGAAGACATTTGTAGCTAATCGCGTTTCCGAAATATTGACTTCTTTGGATCCAAGTCAATGGTCGCACGTTTCCTCAAAAGATAATCCAGCAGACTTGGGGTCCAGAGGTATTGGCCCCTCAGAACTGGCACAGTGTTCCTTTTGGTTTAATGGCCCCGAATTCCTTAATGAAAAGGTTATTCGGTACAATAAACCTAATCGATTGGTTACCACCTTGGAACAATCGCGTGTTCATCTTGCGACAACTGAGGAACCATTATGGAGCAAATATTCATCTCTTACTAAGTTAATTAGGGTTCTGGCTTATTGTAGGCGATTCTTAAAATTATGCAAGTCAGATAATGGAAAGCGGTACAAAGGTTACCTTAGGCCAGAAGAATTGACTGAGGCTTTAGACTGCGCGATAAAGCATTGTCAGAATCAGGGTTTTAACACCGAAATTACAAGTTTGGAGGCTCAGGGTGGGTTTAAAAGGCTGAAGGGGCCTCTGAGATCATTGAACCCTTTCTTAGATAAGAATGACATGTTACGAGTAGGAGGAAGATTGGAAAATTCTAATCTTTCTCAGAATATGAAACACCCAATTTTAATTCCGAAGAAGTCCCATTTGACAGACTTGATTATATCGGACGCCCATGCTAAAACGCTTCATGGCGGCCCACAGTTGATGTTGTCATTTCTGAGTTCTAAATATTATATAATTGGAGCCAAATGTCTTGTAAAGGCACATGTCAGAAAATGTGTTACTTGTGCCAGAAATGTAGCAAAAACTTCAAGCCAACTAATGGGCCAGTTACCAGATGCACGTGCAAGGCCTTCAAGGCCATTTAAAAGTTGTGGGGTTGATTACGCGGGGCCAATCAATATTAGGTCATCTAAAGGTCGCGGTCATCATGCACAGAAAGGCTATATTTGTCTATTTATTTGTATGGCTACTCGCGCTGTGCATATTGAGGTAGTAAGCGACTTAACAACTGAAGGTTTTCTGGCTGCGTTTAAGAGATTTGTCTCTCGTCGGGGACTATGCACTGATGTTTGGAGCGACAACGGGACAAACTTTGTGGGAGCTGCCAAGGAACTGCCAACTTTGCGTCAATCAGAAAATTCAACCTTGATTCAAGAGATTTCTCAAGCGTTAGCTACAGTCGGGACGACTTGGCATTTTATACCGCCTCGGGCACCGAATTTTGGTGGATTGTGGGAGGCGGGTATCAAATCCGTAAAATTTCATCTAAAGAGGGTTATAGGTGACTCTACACTAACATATGAAGAGTTATCTACTGTTTTATCCCAAATTGAGGCTTGCCTCAACTCTAGGCCTGTTTCAACACTAAACTCGGAGGCGGATGCCTTGGATGTTCTAACACCGGGGCATTTCCTAATTGGTGAGCCCTTGATCACAGTCCCGGATCACAATTATGAAACTTCTTCAATGTCCAACTTGCGCAGGTGGCATTTAACCCAAAAAATGATGCAGAGTTTCTGGCGTCGTTGGTCGCAGGAGTATCTTGCCGGGTTTCTTCATCGGTACAAATGGTCCTGTCAACAGGTTGAACCAAATATCGGAGATGTTGTGGTAGTGAAAGAGGATGACTTACCTCCCAGCAAATGGCTTTTAGGACGTATAGTCGAAAAACACCCGGGACAGGACAACATTACTCGAGTAGTGACATTGCGTACAAAGGCGTCATTAATTAAAAGGCCTACCTCAAAATTATGCATTTTACCAGTAACTCAATAGTTTGTAGTTATATTTCTTAGTTATGTTTCAATTTCAGTTTTGTAACCTGCGCAAGGGCATATGTATTAAAGTTGTGCATGGTGGGCGGTCTGTTAAAAAAGGACTATTGGAAATAGGTCCTTGGTGGGCGGAATGTTTAATATTGTCATAGAGTACTATGAAATAACAAAAGCAAATTTAGTTGTTAAATTGTATTACGTGTTAAATGTAAGTGTGTTATTGTTTGTGTGAACTCCCACGAGATGGCGCTCGGCTATGAGAGTGAATCGCGCTATTAAGATTCTCTAAGACCAAATGATATCGCTGTATAACCTATATTGTGTAAGAAAAATAAACCTGTACTTGGAACAGTAATCTGCAGTGTTATTACTCCTTGCTGTATCCTAATCGCTGAGTCAGCGGCACGCTAGTACACTCATATATAATATTTAGATGTTTGAGGGTTGTGATTTTAAAACATTCGTAGTCAGCTGTTCAGCTTTTTAATAATTAATTAATTGGTGACCAAAGAATTTTTGTTTTGAGTTGTTGCGAGTTGTAGGTTATAGGTTAGGTAATTTATAGAGACGTTAATTAGCTGAGATAAAAAGTTACTTACTCGTCAGCTGTTTCTTGCATTCTAGTTGAGTAGGTCGTAGGTGTTGGAGTTTCTAAGGATTGGAGTTTTGTAACGCGTATGGAGAAAGCACATTTATTTTATTTTATAGAAGGATTTTTTTCGGTCGCTAATTTATAAGCCCGATTGGTTTTTCAAACAAAAAAATGTTTTTTAATTAAATCTACCAATCAAAAAACAACACGCATTTTTATTGAACAATTCCTATTCAATATACAAAGTATTTCATTTATTTATATAAAAAGGATATTTACAATCACAAATCTAAATAGAAACAGAAAGTAGGCAAATATAATTAAAATGCTGGAGACGGGCAGCCCTAACGCATGTTTACGTATCGCGCGGCTGTAGGCATTTATTTCTATCATGCGGCCGAGTTACAATACTGTATTATAATTGTACCGTGGTAATACTTTACTACGAGATCTCCTTTTATGACATTGTGAGATCGATACTAGATCGGAACTAAATTTTGAAAGAATTGTTGTTACCCTCAGAATGAAAGTGTCTTGCTTAGAATGCAATTTGTAGTAAAATAAAAATTCTTTAACAGAAGAATGCGAAGGTGAATAGCGTGATCAACGAATATGAACGAAGTACCTCATAATTTAGATTCTTTTACCCCATAGGGTTTTAAAGTACGATTCCCAGAAGATAAGTTTCTAGCATAATTTTAAGTTCCAAGAATTTGGTTTTAAGGGTGAGATATGTAAATCATCATCATCAACAGCCTTAAATAGTCCACTGCTGGACATAGGCCTCTCCTTAAAAAGGAGGTTCTGGCCAACTATACTACGCTGGCCAGACGTGTGGTATAGGATTTGTTTCAAGTTTGCTTTCTCTTTGCAGTGCTGTTGTCCTGCGTAGTATGAAGATATGTAAAGGATTTGCTGAATTTAAATAAAAAAAAAATACTTACTGCAGTCCATCTCGCTGTTCTTGATCGGTTACATGCACCTTAGCGGTATAAACTCCTGACGGTAGATACGTGCACCATGCGCCCTGGTCACCTTCCGCCATCACTTTATGTGCGTCCTGCCCGTCCCGGGTCAGTATGACGTGGCGCTGGGTGGCGGGGGTGACCGCGCCACACACTCGCCAGCGCGCTGCACGTGCTGTAATCGCCGCACGGGGACCCGTTGGTGTGATGACCAGCTGGATGTCGTCGAATTCACATTGTTCTGGGACAAATGAAAATATTTTAATGACAATCCTAAGCGTCATACATATAATTTAATGTTACATAGTATATGACCTCCCTCAATACTAATAATACTCTAATCAATAAAAAGTTTTCATGAAATTTTAGAAAGATGTTTGTTAATCAATCTGAAACTTGATGAAATTTGCCACAAAGATAAATTAAAGTTTGGAATATCATGTAGTCTTCGTTTATCCCGACATAACATGACAGACATATTGACAGACCAAAATATTTCGGGAACGGGACGTCTATATGTATGTATATCCAGTACTTATATATCTGTAGGATTTTTTCTTTTCTGCCATTGTAACATGGCTTCATTGTCAAATGAGACTCATCTTTACCTGTCCCAAATATACACCTGCCACACACAGCTTTGCAACACCCAAAGGTTTGACTGGAAGAAAATGCCTGAGGCATTAAGTCCGCCTTATGCAATATGTTTGCAGGAAGACTCAATAAATAAATAAAATATTGACAGAATCGTTATTAACGCAGGCAACGAGAGTTAATAAGTCTTTTAAATAATAATTGCTTTACGCATATTAAACCTTCAACAATCATGGACATATTTCAGTAATACAAAACCTTAATGAGTTATACACTTCAACATTCCCTAAATCAGTCTCTAAACATCCGTAAAAATCATAATTTTATAGTTTATCACGTTCAGACAGACAGACGTAAAAGTTTTGACTGAAATATTTTTTTCTACATTTCTAAAATAAACCTACCGTGTTGGAAACCCAGGCTATAAGTGCCAGGCTGTAGATTCGGCAATGTGAATTTTCCTTTAGCATCGGTTTTGCCAATGGGCTCCCCTTCGAGTAGAACACGAGCACCAGCCATGCCGGGCCCACCCATGGAACTGACTACCGTACCAACAACAGTGAATCCTGTCACCTACAAAATAAAAAACAAATTACATTTTCAGTGCTAGCACTATACTGATCATTAGGACGACGGGTATACGAGTATATTTAAATATTATAAACTTTTTCAGGTGTTACAGAAATTGCAAACTTAGAGCAAGGCCATCGTAATGAATCCGAAGTATAGGTGTCACGTGGGCGAACCGCAGTGCACCGCGGCGCAACGTCAGTGACTCAGTGTGTACAGGGTTACTTCAGTCTGTTAAAGACTAAGGAGCAAAACGAAACGTGTTTTGTTGCTACTATTATTATCGGTGGCTATTATCTCATCGTATGAGAGAAAACTGTTGAATAATTGTAGCACATCGACACATTAACAATACTGTGGTGGCGGCACGTCGTGACGAGGGTACTGCAGCGCATTAACCCTCCCTGCCGGTCTCGCCATCACGCCGAGCCCGGCGTAGCTCATATTTAGGATGACGTAGCAGCACCGCTCCAGTGAATTACCGCACCGTCAACGCATCGTGTGGCTTTGCTCTTAGCAGAACATTATACAGTGCAAAGTTGCCTATCTAGGCCTCATGCTTAAGGCTGCAGTTTCTTGTCACTGCATTTCATCTTCTGTAGCTCATTGAGATGTTTTTAATGGAATAGGTAGCAAACGAGCAGGCGGGGAACATTAGGTCTGTTTGTTTATTGTCGTCTACAGACATCTGCAAGTACAGAGTTACAACTGCGTTGCCCCCCTTTGAGTGCAGCCTCCGCTCGGAATTTCTGGAAGGAGTGGGGTTGGCCGGCCACCTCACTCACTCTGTGAAAATAGACTAAAAAATTGCTTTCCTTTAACAGAAACAGCGTTCTTTGAGGCTGTGGTATGACTCTAGTTGAGTCGGCCGGCCAATATCTCTATATTGATAATAATAAAAAGTATTAACATATTAAAAAAAAACTTACCTCAAAGGCATTTTTAATGAAGAGACTGTCATGTCTAACAGTGAATGGAACGGATTCTGGTCTCACATTGTAGCTAACAGCCACTTGACCAGGAGGCCTTGCCAATGGCAACAACTTATATTCTCCAGCTGGTACCAAACCAAAACTAAATTCTCCATTAGCATCAGTCCTCGAATGGCATATTGGAGCATCCGGGACACCTTGGAGGAGAGCTGTTGTACATCCTTCCACACGGAATAGAGGGTTTTCCTATAAAAAAAGTTTATTAATTAAATGGCAGCACCAAGATATAATTTTATTAGGTGGTTAGAAGAGCATAAAGCTAAGAAATAAACGTAAAATGTACATAATATCTGCAAAAATAATACTGTAGCGGTAGAATAGAAAGATAAAATAAAATTCTGTAGTATTCAAAAACAAGTTAAATTAACTTTTTATAATTTTGTTTGGATTTTCCCGCATTAGTTAATTCAAGTTATGGGTATGCAAATCAGACTAGCTCAGGCTATTTTTTACATCGCCTGATGCCATTGCAGTCCTTTCTTATCTACCTTCCACTTCCATATACTATAATTTTTTCTATCTAGTTTCTGAAATGCCCTATTTTTGGCAACTAAGTTTGCATTGTTAATTATTGAATTGGCACTAAAATTATAAATGTACAAATTAAGGTGTTTAATACAGCTCTGGCTATTGGGGATTTGGCCGTGAATTTACGTATGTACTTAATAAATTCATTTTATAGTTTACATTTTAAAGAAACATTTAAATCTAAATATTACACCTCAAGTAGTATTATAAAAATTATGTAAATGTGTGTTTACACCTATGGAGTTGACCTATGAGTGATTATAAATTAAGAATTGTCTAACTATTCATTAAACCTTTTTTTTCCGCATTTAACCTACTAAGCTAATTAGTAATTTACCTCCTTCGAGTACAGCAGTACATATACACCTCCGATAGGGCTGCCAAATGAATGAACAGAGCCAGAGACATCATAACCCTTCACTGCCAATACACCACCTGGTAATGCAGTGTTGCCTTCCTTCACTTGAACAATTGCTTCAGATGGGTCAAGCTTCCACCTGTTTGGATTGAAACAGTAAATTCAGACAATAAAGATAGTTTTTTGTAATTACCTTCAAAAAGGTGTAGATTTTATCTGGTTTTTTCAATTTGAATTATTTACGCTCCATTCAATAGGGTTTCATTTGGAAACAGAAATAACAGGCTGGGACTCTTTGATGTATTGTTATTCCTTTTTAGTAATTCAGGGCACTATATATTATATTGATTAATTTATGCCAAATGAAAATAAATTAAGCTGTTAAAGCTACAGTGTGTCAATGTAACATACATACATACACTCAAAACACATAACCCTCCTTCTAGCGCAGTCAAGTAAAAAGAAAAACATTAAGTCTTCAAGGATTTCCTTGTGGGTTGCAAGCTGATCCAATAAAAAAAATGAGATCCTACATTACTTGATGTCTTTACCATTATTGTAATAGATTTCAATGTTTGCTTTTAAATTGAATTTGTTTTATAGAAAAAGGTAGGTTAATAATAAGAGATGGAGCAAACAGCTTGTTAGGCCGTTTCTAGACGCCATGCATAACGACACTGCAAAAAAAAACTGTCTTTGGTCACGTGGTGCAGTGTCATTGTGTGTGAAATTTTGACTGTCAATACATTTCGAAGTTTGGCTGAATCGTCACAGTTTTTTTTTTTACAGTGTGATTATAATTTTTTTCGTTATTGTCGTGTCTGAAAACGGCCTTACAATTTACTAACATTTAGGTGCATTGAGGTCAGCGAAAAATAATTTATACATTATACATAATACATTTTACTACATAATAAACTTTACTATTAAAGTTTATTATGTAGTGTATAAATTATTGTTATGTAACATTACAAGAGCTAATTTGAATATAACATCGAACATCTTGTAAGAATGTGGTTTTTTAAAGATAAATTTATAACCCTTAAGGATCTATAAAGTATAGATTTCTGAATGATAACAAGACAAAATTACGTCTAATAAATTGAAGGAATCATTTCAATTCTGGATGGAATTTAATGAAATCTGTCAGAAAATAAACTTTGAAATTAAAAATTTTGCAATAGGGCACCTGATTATTTTTGAAAAAGCAGACCAGGTTTATTTTGTTAACAATATTAATACCTATTTTTATTATCTTTTTGTTTTTCGCTTTTTACAACATTACCGCATGTTTCGGTAGGAAAAAAAACAACTTTAAAATACTTAATGCTTACGTAAAATCATCATTTAAACAACTTTTATATGTAATATTTTTTGCCACAATGCTTACTTCCAAGATACTGTACAAAAACATTGGAATTGACCAGGTCATATCGTCCCCACCTCGTCCATCCTAAAATTTTTAATGGGTCATTGTAGGCAATGACCTTTTTTTTTAGACCAGATTTTATTAAATTCCATCCAGAATCAAAAAACATGTTTTATGAACCTTTTAACACCCCCACTAGTATGGTTAATCCATTTTATACAAAGTTATTCCTTCATAAATATATTTGTGATGTTACTTTTTAAGCAGTTATCAATGGTTTTGGACCCAACATGAAGTAACAGTCTCTTCTGGCACTAGTAAATATTTTGAAAATATTTAAGTAAGAAACAGCCCATTGTGTTTTTTTTTAACACTAGGAAGCTTTTTCTATAGAAATTGAAATAGAAATTGGAAATTCTTTTTTTTATTATAATCAACCTTTTTAATATTAATAACTAATTGGATAACTATATACTGAAAAATTAATGTTTTAAATACTGACAAAAATAACTCACCTTGGATGTGATGCTTTCACAGTATACTTGCCAGGAATAACAGGGGTGAAGTGAAAATCACCACCTACTGCAGTCACAGTATTCCGAACTTCCCCTTTATCATTCACCAGCTGGATGTTTATTCCACCTGGACCTTGCTTCTGGCCAGCTGTGATCACTCGTCCAGTTATTCCAAAGCCGTTAAAGGCGAAATTAATGTCTTGGCCTGAAGAACATTGATCCGTTGTACCATCTATTGAGAGTTCTACTTGTGACGGTTCAAAGCTCCAGCCTGCTGGTGGATGAACCTTGAGCACATACTCTCCTTTTTCATACAATGGGAGGAAGTAATAACCATTCGTAGGAGCACATTCTGTTTTTTCCTTAAGACTACCTTCTTTGGTATACCTGGGTAAACAAAATAATGAATGAAACAATGAAACATAAGGCTCGACTGTGGTGTAAACAAACTGACTGAAATTATGTAACATCTCAGCTCATTATTAAACCTCAATGAAAGACTTAAAACCAAATCAAGCAATATTAAAGTAAAAATAGAGGTTAACTTACAGTCCAATCTCAATCTTAGAAAAATCCAAGGTAACGTGACTTTTAACAAAGCCGCCACAACCTAAGATATCATTTGCATTACATTTTGAACTTATAATTAGTAAAATTATTGGGAAAAATAATCTTACAATATTAGTTATCATCGCCATTTTTGAACTAATCATGATATCACGAACTGTCACGAAGTATTCATACCTTTTAAAAAAACGTATTATGTATAGATACGAAGCCTTTCAGTTCTTTATAATTTAACTTCCCAAATAAAGAATCAATACACTGGAACCGAGTATATAACATGTATACATAAACACAAATGTAAACAATACTGATTACTAAATCAATAAAAAAATTTAAATATTTTTAAAGGCGTCGGTATTCATTTTTATTAATATTCTTTATTCTTGAAAAAATACGTTCTAATAATTATAGTTCTAAGAAGTAAGAACCATGCACCAGTGGGTTGAAATTCGTCTCGCAGGCAAGAATCCACAATACCATAAAGAATAAAAACTCTTGCCCACAAAGCCAGTGATGGGAGCCAGGTCAGTATTGTTTTTGCAATTTGACAATGATTGGTCATAGCATTTAGAATTTTGAAAACTATATATTGCCTTCATCTTTGTACTCTCTATGACATGTTATGTATTGATTTTCTATTAATACAATGGTGTGATAGTGTTAATACTTTTAATTTTCTCAAACAAAATAATACTGCCACTAGTGTGTCACTGTTTAATTATACATAAAATAGTAAGATCTTACAAAAAAGAGGGTGTATAGAATTGTACATCTATAAAACCAAGAAATAGACTTAAAAATAATTTTACTGAATAATACAATCATTTTGAACTATTACATTTTATGTAGCTACAGTAGCTTTGGTTTTATTTTGTATTGGAAGGAACAATTTGAATTCAGCTGGTAATTCATCTTCTGAATACAATCTGTCCGAGAAATAAACCCTTCTAATTCTACAGTTTGCATGAATTTGAACTCTGAGTGTTTCTACATAATTTGTTCCATAAGCTCTTCTAGTGAAGTCGGCTAAGTTGAACTGGATTTGGTTCCACCCTTCGTCGAGTCGCATGGGCATAGTGCAAATGAAAGGTTTTACTCGAGTTGTTGACTGATAATTGCTGGCTCGGAATCTTCTGCGAACATTCTTATCATCTAAAACCTGTAATTTAATAATTTAAGGTTAAGTCAGTTTTAATAACCTTAATTAAAATAAATGTTTGTATGAAAGTGTAACTTTCAACTAAAGTACTGTAAGAAATTCATAAAAATTATGCTTACCTGGACTTCAAAAGTAAAGTATTTCTTGAGATTTTTTATTATCATGACCAGATAAGGCAGCTTGATGCCAAGGGTCTTCTTTGGGTCGGCAGGACATGTAATATACGTGGTACTGACATTAGTGCCAACTATTTCAAGCACTAAGCTCTGTATATCATTATCTGTGATCCTTTTTATGTGCCCATTTCTCACCTTTTTGTCCCAAATTTGTAAGGGCTTACTTCCTATGCTGTAAAGAATTGATAGGAATCCAGACTGAAAGGTGTTCTTGAACATGTCTAAGCTTGCACGTAGCACACGATGTGTCCTTACATTTATCAACCAATTTCCCACAGTTATTTGATCAATAAATAACCCACATTCGTGGTTGCATTAGAACTTTTGACAGATTGACAGTAAACACAAGAATTTTGAAAACGGCCATTGATTGGTCATGAGCTTGTTATCGACATCATTGCCATAGCAACGACGTCCTCTACTACGTTCCGGTATACGTGAACTAGACGGTTAAAATAAGTTAAAATGCTGCTCACCATATGTTTAAAATTATATCAAAACTAGAAGAAGACAAATTATCTAAAAATAAAACTAAAAATATATATTCATACTAACAATTTCGGCTCTTTAGGAGTCATAACATGTATTGGACTTCTATTATTAATGTTTCTGTATAAATTGGAGTACATTTCTGAAATTGACAATTACAGATATTTTATCTGTGCTTGTCGCAGTAAAAGAATCAAGTGGTGCATGTGCAGTGTCTGCGTATTATTTCTTTTTTGATTTTCTAATTTCGGGAGTCTAAACTAGAACGTGTATTACCAAAATATGCCCTAACGTATAACTGCTACGCACTTATGTATAATGAACTCTCTTTTGTGTAACTCTGTCTGATTTAAAAAGGTGGTATATCAAAAATGACGGAAATGTCGTCGAAGAGGTAAGAAGTTTTCAGTTATGCGTGTTTAATTTATTGAATTATGCTGTATAATATTTACCTGTTTGGGTTTCAAAAATTATTGGATTATAACTGTCTTGTGGCCGTAAAAGCCGTAAAAGTTGATTTCGTTTATTTCAACATTCATTCAAAATTATTAAAGAAATAATAATTTACACAACTCTCAAGTAATATATAAAAAAGCTTCCATGAATAATTTATTTACGCCTCGGTCGAACTCTGAACTTGTTTACTGTTGTACTTGACAACTGTCATAATTTCAAATAGAGAATATCCAGGTTATTATAAACCACAGACAAATTCAACAGCAGAAGTCATAACCATTCTGGATACTGGTCTCTACTTCTTACACTATTAAGTTGATAGTCTGTAATTTGTTTTTCATTACTTATAACTTAAATTCTTATAAGTATTCTTTAAGTCTAATATGAAACACCACAAATGCTATCATACAGATAAAGTTGATAAATGATGATACTAGAATACTATAGTACACAAAGTTAATTTTTAAACAAATTACTTTTGCCAAATTTCATGAATAATTTTGCCTTTGATAACATAACTTAATTATGTTATATCAGAATTTTACAGAGATAAAAATCACTGCAAATCATTAAATATAACCTTACAATCATGGGCAATAAATTATTTACTCTGCTTCCTTTATTTACAACAAAATACCAAGTTATGGATGTCTATTTCAAATGTTTGTTCCTTATTGTGCTTGTGGTTCCTCAGAGGAGCTAACATTATTAATCCTGAAATTATATGAGGATGAAACAAATAGTCACATTTATAATTATAATCTGTTCACCTTGGTACACCCTGAACTTCAACATTAAATAATTTCTCCACACACCTCATTACATAATATACAGACAAAAAATTATCTATGCCTTGATTAAAAAAAATTAAAGGGATATGTTTATAAAAAGGTTTTTACAATTGACTAAAAGACTACATTGTTTTCTTTTAGATAGAGATTGTCAGCGAAAGTTCAAATGGATAAATTAATCATAAAGCAATCTTCCTCTTCTGACTTTTAAAGGGTTTTTAAAAAAAAATTAAAATTTTAAAGGGGTTTTCTGAGAGGAAAAATAGCTATGTAGACAGTAATGTAGATAGCTACCTAGTAGTAAAATATAATCGATATAGGTCCAGCCATTTAGAAGATTAATAGAATTAAACTGGTTTTTAGGCATAGGTATCGTGCAAACAACCATGTGAGCATGAAAAAAACCTATAATTTTGACATTACAAAGAAGACACTTAAATTTTATTTATTTGTATAAATTGATCTATGCTCACCACCCATCCAAATGTTAACAATAACAGCTTTGGACTACATAAGGGGATAGTAAAAAGTTTAAAGTAGTGTCCTCCTTTAAAAAAAAAAACTAAGCCATATGACATGTCTTGAGTCTTGATTCATTCTGTCTCTTGTTTAAATGTTTAAAATGCCTACTGCAGTTGTAAACATGTATAGATTATATGTATTATTTCACTTTTTGCCTTGCACAACCAATCTGTGGGACGGGTTATCGTCTGCGGTATTTCCGGACCGATACAACCTTCAAGAAAAGAGCGTACTCCTCCCTAAAAGGCCGGCAACGCGTTTGTGACTTTTCCTGAGTTGCAGACGTTCATGGGCGGCGATGGACACTTTTCATCAGGTGACCCGTCTGCTCGTCTCCCCCTCTAACATAAAAAAAGAAAGAAAAGAGAGATAAGAGTTGTCCACTAAGAAAAACCAAATACAATACTCACTATAAGTCAAGTTTTGATGCTGACTAGAAAGGTGTAGGTGTAATGATTGTTGATTATCAATCATTAGACAATGATTAATAGTGATGCTGCATTTGAACCCACGCGTTTTTTTAAATGATGACATTGGCATGTATTGATATTACCCATTTGGTAACCACTACTGTCTATAATGTCTTTTCCTTGTAGTGGAGATCATTTGTTTTTTTTTAACCACAGTTACATAAGAGTTTCCTGTTGCTTAAAATTAATCAGACTGAAATTTGTATGTATAGATTAACATCTCTTTGCAAATAAAACTGTTAATTTTCTTTAAGCTGCTTGGCTTTGGTTGTAATAACAAGATATTTATAAGTAATACATGAAGATGGCAATTGACAGACTATTTTTATTCTATAACTAGCTGAGAACCACGGTCTTACCCGCGTTAGTTGTTAAAAAAGTAGCCTAAGTTACTCCTTATGTCATCAGCTATCTGCCAGTGAAAGTCTCGTCGAAATCGGTCCAGCCGTTCCAGAGATTACCCGGAACAAACAGACAGACAGACAGACAAAAATTGTAAAAAATGTTAAAAGCGGTTATTTTAATATTACAAACAGACACTCCAATTTTATTTATTTGTATAGATTGACTACGCTTGTAACTATTATTATGTTTTTTCTGCCGTATGGCATCTTATTTAATTACTTGTATTGACTTAAAGGCCTAGAGGCCAAAGCCGCTGTTCTGAACAGAGGCCTGTGTCCAGCAGTGGACTGTTAAAGGCTGTTGATGTGATGATGATGATGTGATCTAATAAAAATGATTTTTTACTCTGCTTGATATAATTAATTATTCTGATTTTATTTAATGTATTTGTGTGCCACTATTCTGGTAAAAATATTTGTATCTTGATTACTCCCCATTCTAACACCATTTGTCAAAATATTTTTGCAAATAAATATGATTCTGATTCTATAATTTTGAGAGAATCATAAAATGAGAATAGAAAGACAATGTATGTTGAGGTGTAGTAGACCTTGTGCCTGAACATGCTATGCATGCTATGCTAATAGAACATGGTTGAACAGGTTGTTGCCCACAGTTACACTCTATTTGTATGATTAGCCAGCTTGCACAGCAGCCTTGGGTCGAATCACATATGTTTATTCATGCAAAAATTAACTTTAGTTGGATAAATTACACTTTCCACTCTAATACCTGTTGGTTCAGTTAGCATTATAATATTGAAAATCTATTATTATAATATTAAAATTAAAAACAGACAGGGCATGACCTTATTTAGTAAACATATTAAAAAGAATTACATGTAATCTGTGGAAAGGCAAATACGTGATAATCATATTAATAGTAACGAGTTCGCGTTCGTAAAGACGTGCTTGTCACCTGACAAAATTGACTTTCCTTCAATAACAAACCTAAAATTATTTTGAGGGTAGTTGTGAATCCAGATCATTAATACTGTAGCTATAAAACTTTTCGAATGCCCAAAATATTATAGTACCATTGTGTACCTATCGTAAGTTAATAATAAAGTAATAATTAAAGAACAGCCTTGAGTAGTCTTCCATTCCGTTCTAGAAAGTTTCACGTAGCCTACCTCAAAATTCTATACAAATCTCCATTAATAACATAATATAGGTTCTAATGGCGTACTTAAATTAGAGTTGTGTAGCTCCTGAATGAGTGATATAAAAGATATATATCATTCACGACGATAAAATGTATCACTCACTCACACTAGCTCCGAATATATCAGTAACTCAGTACTAGCTCACTAGATCATTAGATCACTAGCTCAACGACGCCGATCATTGTTTCATGAGCGAGTGAGACTAAAGATAAATGAGTGAGATAGGTGATGGTTGAGTTCACGCAAGTTTCTTTATGCAAAATGTACATTATTTCTATAGGATCAAAGTTTAATATTACTTAAGAATTAAGCCTGCCAAGTATAAGGAAAATCAAATTATGTACGATGTCTATTATACAACCTAAAAAAAGTACAAGAAATAATTTCTTTTTTTAAATATTATATAAAAGGGTGTTAATAATTATGTAATCTAATCAAAATGAATTAATTTAATCTAAAATAAAAGGTTAAGAATGTAGTTTCAAAAACTGAATTTAGGTTAATATGAAAATAAAGAAAGGTTTGTATGGCGAGAGAGGCTTAAAGTGGCTTAAAGGCTTAGATGAAGAAATGAATTAATTGAGAGACCAATCAATTGAATCGGATCAATGAGCTAGTGAGCTAAATGAGTTGGTGAGCTAAATGAGTTGGTGAGCTAAATGAGTTGGTGAGCTAAATGAGTTAGTGAGCTAAATGAGCTAGTGAGCTAGATGAGTGATATATATCTTTAGAGCGAAATGATATGTATCAATCTTTTCAGCTCAGTGATACATTTTGCGCATCACTAACTTAAATATAACACGATGCCTCGGTATTCAACATTTTATTTTTTTATATTAGCTTCACTTGTATGTTTGTTTGTAACCGACTCCTTTGGCCGTGACTGACTTTAAACGGTCAGAATTCGTTCAAACTTTGAGGATGTATCGAGGACCGATGACAATACACTAATTAAAAAAAAAAAAATAGAAATAGTTTAAAAAAACTAATAAACACGTTTTTATAGAAAACTAAACTAAAAAATGTCTGTTGTCAATAGTAAAAAGCACCCCATTTATTAAAATTTATTTTCTATTTTTTAGTTTTTGTGTTTTTTAGTTTTTAAATATATATTTTTTAAGTGTCTGCTCCCTTGGCAGTATCATAATTTTCATGACCTAACGGTGCTCGTTACAAACAACTTTCCGTAGATAGTAGCTAGCTTAAGGCTTCATTGCTAATAGGTTCGTCCTCTCTCGGCTGGTTTTCAATCGTAATTGACTTGTAACCGTCGGAATGTGGCCGAGCTATAAAAAGAACACAATGTCACAGATTATCGTCTTCGATGTTGTATGCTAAATCATTTTTGGTATATTAAATGGAGGCAATTTTTATTGGCTGTTTAAGGCTCAGAAGTGAGCATAATTATTAAAAATATTGGCTATAATAGCCAATTTCCAGGAATGCAACTGCATTTTACCAGTTAAGCAGAATTATTTATTAATTATAAAACTTTAGTTTCTATTCTGGGGACCAGTTGCGCAATAACTATAAAAAAAGAGTTTAATTTATTTCATACATGCGTTTAAAACTTTTTGTTTCGATG